TCCCGGCTCGATCGTATGAGCACAAGTGATTGTGTACAGTTGATCAGGACACGACGGAACCGTTCGAAAAAGCCCATGCAAGCCGATAGTGGATACTGTGCAAAAAACTCTGTCGTGTCCATCAGGTCTCGACTGGTCTGGTTGTCATTGATGTGTTTCCATCCGGCCGGTTGCATCCGTGTGATATCACTGGGAGTAAAAGAACAAAATCCTTTGATTGTAGTCACTACTCCGACGTTTTTAACCTTGTCAATCTCTTTGCCGTTAACTTCGTACCGGATCTCATCAAACAAATGCATGCACAAATGTACGGTCAATTGTTCGTTCTGTAGGTTGATCTTGTGTCCGTCTTGATCACGCAACTGGATGTTCAATGTGCTCAACTGCGATGTGTTTAGAGGATAGTATACCACATGTTTGGGACACTCTATGATACGGTAACCCGGAGCAACGTTAGGAAAGAATTCGTGCAACGTGTGTGACTGACGACCGCTGTGGAATGATCCTTCAATCACGTTGCAATCCACTCTTATACACGTCACACTGATAATCTTCATCAATGAGCTTCCAACACCCTCGGGTGGAATCCAAGCAATTCACCAATCGAGTCCGAGGAGTGAAATCAACTGGATAATCACTGGTTATTTCACACCGCATGGTATTGTGATTACCAATTATTTGAAACGAATTCATTTCCTTTGGCCAATCGGTTGTGATAATCTTTTTGATGTCTTCAAATTCATACGATCCCGTGGGTATTGAAACCACATAAAGAGGTGAACTGCTTCCGGTGAAGATACAATCATTTTGGTACTGTTGTTGTTTCGACCATCGACAACAACATTCGGTTGAGGAGCAGCTTCCTGTTGCTACTGCAGATCATCGCCATCGGGGACCAGTGTACCAACGATAAACTTGTTGTTTCGCTCATCAACACTTGGTATAGTGTTCCACGTGTGCAAACTCAACAAACCAATTTCACAGTGGTCACTCACTTCCAGCGTAGGGTTGAATATACATTGCAATTCGGACCCCTCACCGCTTAACGTCACTGTTGTAACAATTATCGAGCGTGTTCAGCAGAAATCGCACGCACCAATGTCCACAATTAATCGTGTTGAACTTTTGATAACGACTGTAGTTGTAGTCAATCGTGCAGTCTATAAAATACTTTTGTACCTCCAGTGGTGGTGGTAAGTTTCCAAAACTATCGAAATAACTAACGTGTTGTCCTTGTTTCCGGTAAGCTACCCAATGTGAACCTAGATTGCGTTGCAAGTCAATATTAATGACACCCACTTCCGAGGTGTATGGAGTAAGCGGGAGCGTGTCTCTGCAATACACACAATATTCAATTTTATCACTTTTATTTATAATAATTCCTGTAGACCTGTGAACTCTCCGTTTCCTCATTGCTTGGATTACATTATGCCTATACTTTACTGTACTAGTCCTCTCGGATAAAATCACTTTCAAATAAACGCTTTGATGCTCATTTGTAAATACAGAACCTTAATTTAAAACTTTCTAACTTTGCTGGTTTATACTGCGCTTGGTTTGGACTGTACTGGCTTGAAAATACTAACTACCGATTTGCATCGAAGCGTTTTTTCGAAAGCGATTTTATCACTTTCAGATTTAAAAATTCCTGTAAACCTGTGACCTCCCCGTACCCACTATGCCCCGACCCAACTATGCTCCGTCCCCACTATGCACCGACCCCACTGTACTGGTTTTTTTACTTTATTATCAAGACGCTACTTTTGTGATCTATTATGAAAACGATTTATAAAATTGAATTTTTTCACTACATCTAAGTGTACAATTTGGAAAAAATATTTCAATATTTTAGCTTTGATGCAAAGCGAGAAGGTATTGGTTTTACTCTGATGTGGGCTTTTTTTTTCGCTGTATACACTGTAACTTTTTTAATACTTGACCAATTCCTTTGAATAGCAACTCTATAAATCGCAAATTTAATCTAGTTGGTACTTTGGGGGGGTAAAAGTTGAAAAAGTTTAATTCTTCACAGACGAAAGTTGAAAAAACAAAAAAAAACCGTACGAGTTTTTAAGTTAGAAATTATAACGGCTATAATTTCGAGAAAAAGAGTTGGATCGAGTTGAAATGTATAAGAAATAATTATTTGGTATGCCCGCACACGTTAGTTGTGTCAAACTTAAACTATACCCATTTCCCACCCCCCTAGGGGGGGTACAAGTTTTTTTGTTTTTCGGGGTTTTTAGCGGAAATTCTAAAACTTTTGGGTTGAAAATTTGCCAGTAGTTGGAACTCATATGTACCCATAACATATTAAACGGGAAAAAAATTCGGCACTACTGTTTTTTTTTTAATTGCCGGGAAACTGTGTTTTCGCAGATTTCGTATATTTTAACAAAAACTCCTAAAATCTTTAAAACAAATTGATCAAATCATTAAAACAATTTTATGTATATCTATGCAGAATGATACTATTAGGTTTTGTGCTCAAGTACCACTCTTGACTTAAAGTTTACACAAATTCAATTTTTTTTTTTAACTAAAAACCCGGTGTACCAGATGTGAGAAACGAACAGACACTAAAAACTATCAGTTGGTAACGTCTATCCGTGTTAGATTAGGTTAGGGCCCAATGATCGGTATCATAATATTGTGTTTATTACATGATATCATAGGCGACTAAATCGTGTAACTGATTATAGTAGACACTCGATTTATTGGGAAAAAAACCTATCCGTGTACTTATTTAAGATATTTAATGATTCTGATACGACAAAACCACTGTCGTTATCTCGTTATTTTATAGCCTGCGTTATATAACCTTACCGAAGGTCAACTATGAGTATATAAGGTCCAACTACCTGCAAATTATGAAGAGGACTGTTGTTTTTTGGATTCAGATTAAGTGTTGGTTTTTATGCAGTATACCGCCTCAAAATGTATTTTTTATTACACAATTTTTTTAAAGGAAAACTAATGTTTTGTATATTGTTATACTGTTATTCATTTAAAGAGATTCACGCTTGATTGTTTAAATTGTCTAATATTAGATAATCTGCTTTGTGCTAATTTTAAATTTTTAGTTTATCAACTTGTAGCTCTAATTTTGTATAAAATATTTCATTATTTTATTACTATGTACAGATGAAGATAAATTTTAATAATAATTAAGTCATAAATGATAATACTTTATTTTATGACTAGATCAAATCTCGTGAACATTTAACATTATGATACTGCTCTTATGCTATTATTAAAAAAACACAATTTTTAAAATCTCCATAAAAGGTTATTGTTAAATAACAGGCAACAGCAGACCGCTAGTGGCCATACACGTTAGTAATATTTAACTAATAAGTAATATATGTAGGTAAAATTTATTGTTTTCTCCATTACAGTACCAGTATACGATTTATTTTAATTTAAATGTAAGAAAATCGATTTTTCTTTAGAAAATAACAAGAAATTAATATACAGGATGGGGCAGTAAAACGGCGATTTTCTAATGTATTTAAATGGTAAAACCCGTTTCACTATCCCACCCTTTGCATTTTAAGGATCTATGAAAAGGTTTTTTTAGTTGCATTTTATTTTGTACATTGTCAATCTAGTAAAATAGAAGTATAATATAGCTTTGAAATAATATAATCTGTGAAGTATAAATAGTTTGTGTGAGATTGCTTCAATGGAAGTATATAATACATAAATATTAATTTTATTGAGAATAAGCGATTATAATTTAAACTATGGAGTACAAACGATTGAAACATGAATCGTCGACCATTCCAACAAAATATAACAAGACATTGTTATGTGTTATTTGGTCCACTAAGTTTTTGCAAAAAAAAAAAACCAGTACAGTGGGGCGGTGCATAGTGGGGACGGAACATAGTTGGGTCGGGGCATATTGGGGACGGGGAGGTCACAGGTTTACAGGAATTTTTAAATCTGAAAGTGATAAAATCACTTTCGAAAAAACGCTTCGATGCAAATCGGTAGTTAGTATTTTCAAGCCAGTACAGTCCAAACCAAGCACAGTTTTAACCAGCAAAGTTAGAAAGTCTTAAATGAAGGTTCTGTATTTACAAATGAGCATCAAAGCGTTTATTTGAAAGCGATTTTATTCAATTTTATCACTTTAATTTATAATAATTCTTGTAGACCTGTGACCTCTCCGTTTCCTCATTGCTTTGATTACATTATGCCAATACTCTACTGTACTAGTCCTCTTGGATAAAATCGCTTTCAAATAAACGCTTTGATGCTCATTTGTAAATACAGAACCTTCATTTAAGACTTTCTAACTTTGCTGGTTTATACTGTGCTTGGTTTGGACTGTACTGGCTTGAAAATACTAACTACCGATTTGCATCGAAGCGTTTTTTCGAAAGTGATTTTATCACTTTCAGATTTAAAAATTCCTGTAAACCTGTGACCTCCCCATCCCCAATATGCCCCGACCCAACTATGTTCCGTCCCCACTATGCACCGACCCCACTGTACTGTTTTTTTTTTATAACGGTAATAACTATATTTCTAAAGATATTTTTTAAAACGGGTATGACATTCTTTCTAAAATGTTTTCTTCTTTCCACTATAAACTCATGAATAGTTTCGCTTTCGATCCACTCGCGGTTGACTAAGAAAAATTATGCGTAAAAAATTGTTTTGCATGTTTTTAAGTTTTTAATTTTATTTTTGACGATTTTAAAACGGAAAGCTAAAAACAAATTTGTACACGTATATTAGACAGAAATTAAAACGCTCTAAAAATAAGATTTTATTATGCGTAGTCAAGTTTAGACGCTTGAAAATTAGGTGTATAATGTCACTTCGTAAAATCGAATGTAATAACAACATTAAGTATGTATACTAATTTTTCTAATTTCTATTTTGAATAGTGTAACCTAACTTTTTCATACAACGCAACTGAAATTGTTAACAGACCTGGTTTTTCTTTGTGTATCCTTAATATGGTGAAATAACTGTAATTTTGGCCAAATCAAGTACCTTTTGAGGTAGATTTTTACCTTCCTTTACATAACAATCCGTTTAACTGTCTAGGAAATATTTATCATATTGAAACTGACTAATATAAAATGACTAATATAAAATGTTTTTTTTTATGTATTATTATTCGCAGATAATAATGAAACTCTTCAGTTTATTAATATCTTTTCTATTCCTTGCGGGTGTTTTGGCAGATGATGGTAATTATTTTATTTTCACGGTTATCAACTTAAGGTAGTTCAAATTTAAAAAAATTTAATATTTCACTTTTTCACAGAGTCGGATTATATGGATAATGTTTTGAGTTCAAGTCAGTAATAATTTTATATTATAAACAAATGATTTTTAAGTTTTCAAAATCCACTGTTTTTATACAAATGTTTTAAATTATGTATCTCAGCTGCAGTCTTCAGAATTGTTTATTTTAAGAATGGCATAGATACTATAGATGGTAGACGTGGATTAAGTAAGATATTATATTTATAATAATATACTAATATAATATATAGAAGCTTTGTTACATCTATCTAACTGTCAAGTAAATAAAAATTTTAGTTTTTATTAATAGTTAAGAAAGGTGTACCAGATATGTAGAACAGTGTACAGAGCATAATAGTGTATTATAATTTTTACATTAGCGATTTTTAGTAATCTAATCAAAGGAGAAAAGTGATCTTAAATGGCTACTGCTCAAAGTCGGGTTTAATATTATTCTAAACATTTGTATTGTACCTAATTTGATTTGATTTTATTATTTTAGTATAGCCTAAATCTTCATTTGTTTATTCTAGATGGTTTGGAATATATTATTGAGGCAATGGTTGATGATATCAATAATCAATATGCTTACGAGAATTTCTGTAATTATATTTTTTAATAATAATACAAAACATCAAGGCAAGAGTAGAAAAGAATTATTTGAAAATCTTATAAAAAATGCATCTCACGTTTCTCTTTATGCAAATGACGAGTGTTATAATTATTATATTTTTCATCGAAATCTAAATAGTAGCTTTATGAAAAAATACTGCATCAACTCAGCCATTACATTTTATAAGGGTTCCCTAGTCTATTTAATTTCATATTTTTTTTCTACTTTGACCTTCGTCTTCTAATTTATAATTATTAGTGGTGGGCTATTCGAATAAAAAAAATTCGAATATTCGATGTGATTTTTCGAATATTAGAATATTTTATCATTTTCTTTGCAGGATTACTTAAATTAAAAAAAAAATAATTAAGAGACAACCAAGGTGTCCTTGATCTATTTTTAATATTTTTTTTACAAATAAATATAATTTTAACGAATTCATCTTTTGACAAAATAAATATTATTACTTATTACAAAAAATAAGATTTTAACAATTTATATAGATTTATAATAAATTACAAAAAAACATAAATTTGACAAAATATTCGAAAATCCGAATATTCGAATTATTTGAATTATTTTCATACGAATAGTATTATTCGGTTATTCGAATAATTCGAATAATAGAAAAATTCGATTCGAGGTCCCAGCTCTAATAATTATACAATGTAGTAATAATTTATCATAGCAAATCAAATTCAATATCATTAATTTATGTAATGTAAATTTCAGGCAAAATTAATTTTTTGATCGCTGTACCGGGTAATATTTCTTGTTAAATTTTATGAAAATATTTCCAATATTTCATTCCTATTGGATTTTCTAAAGAGACTCATCGTATCAAATATACAGTGGAGCATATTTCTTTCGAGTTTTTAATAAACATGTTTTTTCTACTTCGAAATTTGTCTTCCTGATCATAATAGAATAGTAAATTAAATGAAATATCATTAATTTATGTGTTGTTCATTTCAGAAGCAAGAGATATTTTATCCCATGTAGCGGGTAATAATTTTCATTACACTTTACGGAAGCGATTCCACACAGTTGTTTGATATTCTTTATGCAAACAAGATTTTTGTTTAATTTCAGATCCGCAGCCATCGCAAAGTAAAAATCCCTTTTTATATTTATTATTTCTAAATACTTTGAGAATAATCTTATGTATATATTGACAAATATCAATATAAATGACATATCGGTTTCATTCATAAAAAATATGTAGGTACATTAAAATGTATTTTGTTTTAAAATTTAGAAGCCAATTATTTCTCTATGTTATGCAACAGTTGTTTGATATTCTTTATGCAAACAAGATTTTTGTTTTAGTTTCAGGTCAAACAGATCTTCATTTAAATCAAACGCAAAGTAAAAACCACTTTTAATATTTCATATTTCATATTTACAAATACTTTGAGACTAATCATATGTACCTATTGACAAAATACCAATATGACACACGGTTTCAATCATAAAAAATATAATATATTTTGTTTTAAATTTCAGAAGCCAATTTATTTCTCGATCATATGATACGATTCATAGGTGCAGCACTTATTGAAAGTAAATATAAAAAAAAAAAGAGTAAATTATTTTTGTAGTTTTAAAGAAAAACTGGATTAATAACATCAAGTCATCAAGCTATACATTGTTAAGCTTTGAAGAATTATTCTAAGTAAAATTTAAACAGTTTATTTAAACATAGGTATATGATATAAATTTAAATTTTTACAATACTATTTTGCATTAATTAATATTGATTGAGTTAACCTAAGTTATAGAGTGAATGTTATGTATAAAATATATTAAGCGGGTTTTATATTCTGCATAATGATTTGATGTTTAATGTGTTTGTTACAGGATATAGAGTGAAATTAACTTACGCTACTAGTAATTACCATTTGTTTGATAATCATAAATAGTCTTAAAAGCTTGTTTTAGAGTTAATAATTCACTCTCATTTAATTTATTTGATTTTCTATGTCAGATAACGATTTTAATAAGTTCAACTTTTTGTTGAGTGTGGTCACAGTGTTAATATGTAATAAATTCTTAGGGACTTCAATAGAAAGAATATATTTGTTGAGTTTTAACACTAACAAGTGGTTGTAAAAAAAGTTATATATTTCACAATGCTATGAAATGTAATGCAATAATTATGTATAAAGAGCGACTAATATATTTTTTGTTTTTATTATTTCTTCGCAACACGGTCATTTAATAACTATTTTTATAGGTTTTGGAACTTTGAAAGAAATTGCAAACGAGACAAGAAAATTTGTCGTTCCAACTTTAAGAAATGTTATTAGACGTCGTTTATTGGGTAAATATTTTAATGGAGTTGTATGGGTTTTGAACACTTATAATATATTTATATATATACATATGTTTTTTAAGTTATTTAAAAGGAACAAGTGTACAACTGATTTTAATTATTAACTATTAACCAGATCAATTTAAACTACTCACACGTACTTTCATTTTATACAAATATCATAGCAGTACAATACGGACACTATGCTTAGTGTATTATTTTTATATGACTTCGTATTAACAAATAAAATAGTTTTGTCCTGCACCATAAAGAAAAGTAGTAAACTAGTAAGTTTATATTAGCATAATAAAAAAAATTTCAAATTTTTTAGGTGAACCTGTGGAGCGTGTAAATGATCAGGCCTCTTTACTACCAAATTGTCGTTTGCTAGGATTGTACTTGAGTACCCAATCTCCAGAATTATACATAAAAGAAGTTAGGATTGAGTCAACTAGCCGTACATGTATCTTTAAGGATAAAAATGACACCCAAATAAGATACAGGAAATTCGGTGCCACGTGGTCAAAAATAAACGCAGATGACCAACCAGGAGAATCACTCGAGGATTTGTTACAACGTGGACAGCCACAAAATCTACCCACACCTTCCGAATACACTATATTTGTTCCGTAAAATAATATTATTATTTTCCTTATTATTGTCACTTTTTCGTTATACCTAAAATATATACATATAATTAAGCTGACCGGGAAAAAACGGTTGGTGGATTTTTTCAATAACGTATTCCACATAATACATTTTTATGTACATAATATTGTACGCTAATTTCTGTTTTACGTCATGTCTACCAATAATTTTTGCAAAAATATAGTGGACCAAATAACACATGTCCTATGTCTTGTTATTTTACTATATTATGTGTAATAAAAATAATAATAATTGGATTAAGAAAATATATACTGTCTTTGTTATTATTAATATCTTTAAACTACATTAGTCATTTAATTCATTACAAATTTCAGTTTTAGATTCAATAAGAATACCACCTTTATTTGTAGTCTTATTTATTTTATTTTTATATTTGCTTGGTTTTCCTGTTATCACATTAAAAATACTTCAATTCTGTATACTGTTAGGTTTGGCTCGTTTTTTTTTTTGTAGTAGTGTATTTTTATAAACAGCTCATGTTATCATTTCTCACGAAATGGCTGCCAATTTAGAGTTACTTCAATTAAATTTAGTCAATCCACAACAAGTAGAGTTCTGTTCAAATCAACTTTATATCAACTGTGACTTAATAGAATCCATATCCAGTTAGTTATATTATGTTGACAAATTGTTTTTTTTATAAAATAATAAAAATTGATAAAGTAAACAACAAACTACGTCATAAAAGTTTGACTACGCAGTACAAGTTACCACCAAAATAAAAACTAGCGTTTTTGTAGACAAGATTTAGAAATAATATTTAAAAAAATATACAAGAAACAAGCTGGTGGTGTCTTCAATTTGGTGAAAGAAAATGCTTTTGCTGCTCAAATTTTTGGGATGGTATGTGTATTCTTTTTGTTAAAAAAATAAATCAAAAATTACTTTTTTTGAACTTACGCCGATGATTTGTTTTGCAGGTACTCGTATTACCTTGTCTACCACCGCACAGGATTGAAAGAATTCTATCAATAGTTGATGGATTCAACGCTACGGCTCTCTATATGCTTCAAGATGAAGATATGGCCTACCAGCTCAATACTTTTATTTATGATTACCTGTATCGATTCTGGTTTGTAGAAATTGGACCTGATAATATTTCTGTATTCAGGAGAGACATTAGGACAAATAATTATTTAGAAAGTTACCATTCAATGCTATTACAAATTATGAAGCGTCATCCTAAAGTATGGGAGTATATTGGTAAGTTCTTATGTAAGGTCTATTAAAAATATATTGCATTTTCATACAGTAGAATACATATTTTTAATCAATGGTAGAACTGATATTAATCTATTTAATCTTTTTATAGATCAATTGAGGTTTTTAGAAAATCAAAGCGAGGTTGAATTTAAGCAACCTCAGAGTGAGTAATATCTTAGCATATGATTTAGTCTATGATTTATTTTAATGTACTATATTAAATTGCAGGCCCGTGTTGGTGTTTCAACAAGAACAAGGGAATCCAATACAAGAGCAATTGAAGAAATGACACATGACTATACAGAAGGACGGATTCAAAGATTCTTACGGAGAGCTGGTCATCAAGTCAATGGGTATGTAACTCGTGAAATTGGCAATTAACTAGGTAATTTGTAATTTCTTAAAAAATTTATTATGATATGACATTTGTGCAATAGTGCTCGGGTATATCTGTTTTTATTTTTCTGAAGGGGAATTGTGCTGTAACCATACCAAATAAATATTAACCTACATACTTTGTACACACTTGGAAGACAGAGATTTATACTTAAAGACATAAAAGTTTATTAAATTTATGTAATGTAATGCATTATGTATTTTCAAACTTTGTTTTTGTAAAAAAAATTTAAAAGTGTAATTATATTACTGGTGAACAATGCCAATTATTTATTAATATTTTGTAATGATTTATATTTTATAGGCCGACTTAGTTGAGTTTTACCATTCCAAATTGACTTCTACCATCACTTCAAGCTGGAGGAAATAGTTTCAAGTAATAGCACTTAACTATTGATCAAACCTGTTTAACTTCAATGATTATTTGTACCGTTATTCTTTTTACTGTTTTTTGAAATACATTACACTTTGTTTAATAATAATAAAAAACGGTTATTATTGGTTATTTAAGTTTTTGTCTGCTGTAGAACCTATTTATAAAATAACAATCTATGTCTGTGGTACACAACTGTAACAATATGACAAAACAAGTATTCCTATCTAAAACGCTACTATATAGTTTAAATTACACCATCTGCACGGAGTTAAGTACATATATTCACAAGTCCATCATTATTGCTTTACACAATTTATGAATGTAACATAAATTAATAGCTAAATATTGACCCAATACATTTTTAGTTCATATTATTTTCTACCCATGTCTTATTTATTGATATTTAACAATTATGTGTGTGAAAATGAAAGTATTTAAATATTTTATAATAATTAGACAACAGAATTTTGACTTGCTTAAAAAAATAGCTGATTTATTGCATGAAACGTAAATTGTAGATTTATAATTACCCAGTGTATTGTTCTAAATTGTATTAAACATTTTGTAAAGACTGTTATTATAATACCTTTTACAAAAGTTAAATAAATAATAACAATATACCTCATGTGAGTGTAAGATTTACATAAAAAATTTGATTCGGGCGTGCCGAGGCGGAAAGAAAACTGGGTCCGGCAGATCGTTTCAAGGATATTACAATTGTTTTCAGTCGGTGCTGACCAAACTCTACATGATGTCGTCGAGGTTTACTTATATGACGGACGCTTTGGACTTTCTGTACACGTTAGGTCCACATCCGAGAGGTAAACATGGTGTAGTAATCGCCACCCAAAAACTTAGCGAGTACACTCTGAATTTAAGGCAGAGAACTTTGACGAAATTGTCTCAACGCGATATCGACGTGAACGCGGTCGATCACGAAATACAAATCATAACCGACTATATCAATATGTTATTAAGGACTAACATACATTGGTATACCGACCGGAATTGCAATATTTCCGCATACAGAGAATTGACTCCGTGGGGTTCAAACGAAGAATTCATGCACAAAAAGATCAACCGACTGATACCGCAAGAAATGACTATGGTGCAATATGTAGAAAACGAAATCGATGCTTATGTCGATGGCTTCTGGGTCAATTGGTTCGAAAATTTGGGATTCGCATATGACGTGGCGGGAAACGTTAAAATAACATAACAATATTGTGTTTATCCTAATAGTGTAGTTATTTTTTGTTTAAAATAATTATCTACTATATAACTTGATACCAAACGAAATGTGTCGATGTGGTATTTTTTTTACAATCCTACAAATGTAATGCACGTATATTAAATACTGTCACACGATTTGGGAATTATTAATTAAGATTAACAGCTTGATACACAACTGGTGTTTGTAATTTAAGCTAAAAATTGCAGCGATTTGCTAAGCTGCTTTTGATTGTTTTATCAACTTGACTTTACACGCATTTTAAGCTTAAATCCCATTCCCTACATTATCTTTCGAAATATTTTGTTGGATCGTTATTAAAGTCCATTTCAAGTACAGTATTAATCAGTACAGAAGAAGTTAGCATATTTGGGTCAAAGAAATTATTAAATCTGAATGTTAATTTGTCACAAAGTATCCACAAATTCGTATGGAATTTTTTGATCGGATAAAATCCTTCTTTTCTTATATTGATACTGCACTAATGACAATATTATTCAAATAAAATATTAAACCCGAAAAATATGTTCATTAGGTAATAATAATATCTAATCACATTCAGATTTAATAATTCATTTGGTCCAACTTTACAAGTATGGTATGTGTATAACGATACACATATGTTTATAAAAATTGCATTTTTTTCAAGACTTACAAATGGTATCATTTATCGTTTTTGTATGTGTGGATTTTGTAAGACCCCATCATTACTTTTTATTTTTCTTGAACAAAATATTTCAATACCTATTTTACTGTACCTTTAACTCCCCGTTCCCCCGAACAACTTCATGAATGTTTTAAAATCCTTACATATGTGCATTAATTACAGATACAGATACTGACTATTAAGTATTATACTTAATAGTTTACTACATTACTGATTACTCTACTTTACTAAATGGAGTAATAGTTTTTAAAAAACACACAGAAAAAACTAATAGCTGTAAAATGTCAACGAATTATTTTCAATTTCCGTTCCCCATAAGTATCGTAAATTTATCTTTTGAACTTTTCGTGTTTGTTCATTTTATATAAACCGTTTTGGTGCCACATTGTTTTTTGTCGGCTGTACCTAATGTTTTCATTTTTTCAAATGTTTTTTATCTGGCTGATATAATAATATAATATGCTAGGTATTATCTGGTATTGGCTGTATCATTTTTCATGTTTGTTAATTTATTTGAATGCTAACGCCTTACTCTCTCCCAATAAGCCATTCGATATTTATCTTTGTAAAGTAGGTTTTGGTGAATTTGTCATCAGCGGACGACTTATAGCGTGATATCGTTTGTATTTTTTTTTTAGATAAATTCAAATAGTTGTACATAATGTTAGAATGTATGCGACTGTTATCAGTACTATTGACGTGTGGTGTGCATAAATTGTTTGTAAAAACAAGGCGCATAATATTAAATAGGTTGGTACATATTATTCCAAATGAATAAACAATAAAAAAAATAAAAAAAATAACTTTTCCATTTTCCATAATTCGCCGTACACGTAAATAATATAAAAAAAATTTTGAAGACAGTATCCATAATATTTTAACGTTTTTAGTTTTAAGTTTAATCTATTCTGCCGAAAAACTTTTAAAAACTTGTAGTGCATGTACTAACCTACATTTTTAAATATTCCCGCTTTTTGTTTGGTTAGTGATAACACCTCTGAGTAGATTTAATCTATTCTGTGATAACACTATCACACAACAATTTAAACTATTTTATTCTGCGACGACTGACGCCAAAAGTCAAAACATTGTTTTATCATTTAAAAATTGTATTTCGTATTCTTAGTTCCTGTACAAAATCAAAGTCTACTTATTAAGATTGTTCATTAAAATAAAATTAATAGTTATTAATTATTACGATTCATCCTAGACTATTTCCTAAGTGTTGATCATTAAGTACCACCTACATCTGTTATTTATATTTGTAAACAATTACCTGGATTTTCTACATTATGAAAATAATAATTATATAATTAGTGCGTCGTCGAAATTTTAAAAATTATATTTTATGGTAAGCATGTTTAACTGTCCAAGTAGTGAATAAAATTTACTACACATACTGACATTACTTAATATAATATTATGATGCATTAGCAGGTTACTTGGGGTAAATAAATACCCCAACATAAGAAATATGGGTTTGTTAGTTTGGCTGACGATAGGTAGTGTTGACATTGATTTAGGTACATTCTATTTATCTGTCGTTATTACATGCTGTTATGTTGTTTTGCCATTTTATTATTTAGTACATTTGATATCTCTGTTGAAAGTTTGCGTTAATGGGTACAGAAAATTATTACTTGCGCTATCAAAGCATCGAAATAATGACAATTTTATTCAGAGTCAGCGTAGCAGAAAAACAAAAAAAATATGCACTAATTGTACAAAATTAATATGCAGAGATCAAGGTAGAAGTATACTCGGGTGTTTTTTAATTAAATATTAAAATAAAACTATATTTAGTATGAGAAAAAAATAATATATAAAAATGAAGTTGTTTTTATATAAATGATTAACCATCAATTGATGAAAATACAGATTAAATATATTCTTGGTCAATTTTTACCGCACGCGACACAATAGGTACTTTGAACTTACCCACCTACTGAAATAAATTCTGTAAACCTCAATTGAGAATTGAACGAATGCTTCTCACGAAGATTTTGTGATCTATTGTTTGTGGTGCACTTACTATTATGTTTTGGCTTTTTAAATACTTTTGAACAGTCAGTTTATTAGTTTTTATGTAGCTCAACATAAATTTTGAATCAAGTATCAAAATGTCAATATTCTTGTCTAAATCTGAAAATATAATCTAATCTGGACATCTAATGTGTATTTGCTGTAAGTTTTAAATTGTTTTGTTTCAGGTTCACCATGCAAACGTTTTTAGATTATGAAGAAAATATTGTTGAAGAAAAACTCTGTCCCCTTTTATTTTCAATTAAACGGTATCAAATTCAATATGATTTTATGACCAATCTTTATACGGCGATTAAAAATAAAAAACATGAAATTTTCGATAGTCCTACTGACAATGTGAGTAAAATTCATAATTAAGTGTAGTTTTTAATCTTTTTTTAAATTTTAATAATTTGAGTTTAACAGACTAATAAATACTTATAATTTAATAAAACAGTAAAATCTTGTTAATTAAAATTTTAATATTGCTTTCAGGTTAAGAAATTAAGTTTCATAATATTTTGTGCAGTGCGTCGGCTATATGGCGTTGAAGAAAGAGAATTGGGGTAGCTAAAGATATTTTCTCATGTTGGAAAAATAATATATTCTTTGGTTATGATTGATACTTCTAATAGAACAATATTTCAATTGCAAAATTCCTAGTAGATTACATTTTAATAGATTTTAAAAGATTTAAAATCTTTATGGCTATCGTAAAGCCTAACAAAACCATTATTAATTTATTTAATGTGCATAAATCTCAATTGCAAAGAGTAACACAACATACGTATTTTAATTAATTCATAGACAATAACATTTAATACTAATTTATCTATTTATAATTTCTGATTAACAGTAAATGGATTTAATTCAATGCTTAAAAATATGTACCCACAGTATTTGATGGTATCATTTGTATTTTTCTCTATCATATGATAATGAACAACTTGTGTACCCATGTTATGAAAAAAATAAAATATAGATAGGCATTCAGAGGAAAAAATTCCTATCCGGAAAAGTAATTTCAAAGTTTATTTTAATATATTTATTGAAGATGATTTATTTATTTTTTATTATTACAATATATGATTAGGTGTCTAGAAAATCAAAAACAACCAACAAGTGGATGAATCATTCAAAAACTAGAAGAAATTTGTTGTCGTTGTCTGATATTAAATTAACGACAGTATTGACGTTCAATATTGGTGTCATAGGTAATAATAATACTAAGTATTTAAAAAATACGACTTTATAACTAGTAAATATGAATTTGTTGAACAATTTTTAGTTCTAATTGTCCAGGTATCAATGTATCATGTCAAGAGCGTTATGAGAAAATCGGGAGTTGTCCATGAAAAGTATGAATCAATCGATTAGTTGATCTGTGCGTCATCAACAGGACTACAGCTGCCTTGATTCCAGATCATCGTTAACAGAGAGATAACGTTAAAAATGGTTATTTTATGTAGCTCTAAAAATTACTACAAAATGTTTACGGTTAGGTTAGGTAAATTTAAACCGTATAGTGATTAGCTGAACTGAACGTAGGATTCCCAAAAGTTTTAGATCAATTTTCTAAATTTTTCAATTGTATCTTTGGGCTTGACATATGCGTCGTGGTCTCCGATAAACTAACTCTTCGGTAGTTACCAATCACATATTATGATGACTTTATTGGGCACAATATGAACATTATTAGTGTATGACTATCCATCAGCTCACCAGAAACTACAACTTTTGCCCATCCAGCAATGTTACATTCTTTTGAGTTATATTTCTAGACAATATGGACACAAAAGCCTTCGGATCAACATTTACATCACTGTCTGTATCAACTAAGGTATCTGTTTGTACGCTGTGTAGACCAACTAGTTTCTTTATGTACTGGAATAATTGATTCACTTGTGCTTTAATATTGTGAAATGTCAGATTTTTGTTTTGTTTTTTATAAGTGTTTTAATTTTTGTTTCTAATAATATATTAAAATTCATTTTGGAGAGTTGGCCTTCTGGTTCTTGTTCTTAATTTAAATTTCATCATCCCACAATACGCAACACTAATTTATATTCTAAATATTACGTATTTGGTATCGTTATAATGTGTCATATGTTTTGATTTTTCATGTACCAGTATCAATATCTTTGTAAACTTGATGAAAAAATAGATTTTGCACCTATTTGGTTAGAAAAATATATCATATTGTATAATTATATAATATTTTCTAAAATATTTGCATGTTGTATGAAAAATAAGCTGATGTATTATGTAAATGATAATATTTACAAAACATGTTAGTAATATCTAAATTTGTTTACCTGTTTAAATGAAAGTTTGACATATCATTATTCTTTTAAAAAATATTAAATAGTGCTTAGGTATATTAATACCTACGTGTATATATATATTTGCTGGTTTTGTTGTTTAGTATCTTGAGTACTTGCCACTTAACATTATTACTTCTTATTTACATTTGTACATAGAAGGCATGTTAGTTTATATAAATTGTAAGGATTTAATACTGAGACTATAGTACTTACATTAATATAATATTGTATAGTTAGTAGTAGTTTTTCGATTAGGTATATTGTTCCGTTTTAAATGATAACAAAGATAGATATTAAGAAAATGTAACCTTTTTTAAAGTGTATAAGTGCGTTTGTTAGCTGCTTTTAAATTTTAAATACGTACCTACCTATTAATGTTCAACAGTTTCGACCTCAACATTAGTTTTGAAGCTTTTATGCTGTTTATTAAAGTTTCAAATTGGAAACTGTCTCAAGGTTTAACATTTCACTGTTGGTACCTACATAGAATTTTATAAGAAGTTTGTTATTTAGGTACTTGAGCATATTTTGAGTAATAAAAAATAGACAGGTGCAATTTGGAATTTATAGTAGTATATTATTTTTTTTTAACGAAAGGTACAATTATAATAGTGTATAGGTCGATTATATATAATATAGATTAAAGATTACGATTTTTTGACAAACCTTCGCCATTTAGGTTGATTGATTCTAACATATTTTATTACTCTTAGCAAACTTTATGTCCTAACAGAAACGCTGTGTGGTGGCCTTTGTGCGCGAATGTCTGTAAACGCATAATACGGCCGGTAGATAGCGAGACACATACCGAAACAGAGTGTGCTAATACATATAATAGTTTATACCTATAGTAAGTTATAAATAAAACATTATTGTCAAGCTGAATGATCTAAAAAATGGCCAAATGAAAAACCTAATTTATATAAATTCTGCATGTTTAATTAGATTGTGACATAACTTAATGAGTAGCCTACTCATTAGGTTAATTAATTTTTAAGGTCTAATTAATTCGTGAACTATAAGTGTTATGTATTTGAACAAAACTGTCTAAAAAGAATAATTTATTGTCACTTAAATTCTGTCCGAAAAACAATTAAAACATATTTTTATGATGTTTTGAAAACATTTTGGGGGGTGTCCAATTTTTTTTTGTACTGCTCTTTCACTCTCAATTTAAGCACCCCCTCCCCTTCCTAATTCGATGCTGATCACTAAAAACTTAACTATGTTAGTAAATATGTATAATATAATATTTTGTATGATTATAAATTATTTTTACTCACAATATTTGATTACACATTTGTTTATATTCTATGTATTTTTCTTTTTATAACAAAACTAAATTAAATTCAATTATAAAATCAAACATTTTTTTTTTAATTCAGTTTTTGCAGTACATTGTCGGTCTCTGCGATTTGTCTATGTATTGTGGTTTCATTATAAGGAAAAATGTAATTATTTGTTGTATATTTAATACAAATTTGTCATGTGTAATAATTTTTTATTAGCCAGGGGGTGTCCAGCACAGTAAACACCCCTTCCCCGACTCCCCCTCTTTTCTATGTTATTTTTCCAACACTTAAACCCAAATCTCCAACTCCAAAGCCTTATTTTCAGTTATATTGTTCTAGGCCCGATTGAACAATCTGTTTTCATATAATCTGTGATAGTACGTTCAAAGATCTATTCTTAGTATTCATAAACGTAGCTATTGTCATAGAAATATCAATAAAATTAATAATATTTACAACAACTATCATTCGATAATCTTTTTCGATGTTTATAAAATGTCTATTTTCAATCATATAACTTTATGTAATTTGTAACAGTAATTTGTTCAATGAAATATTTTTTTTATCTAAAAAAGTTTTAAACACAATCATTATTGTATTAAACCATCAACAATTTTATTTTAGCTGTACCTACAGTTAGTTATAAAAAATGATTTCTTTTTTTATATTATAATACTTCTTGATGAAGGAACAGGCTCGGAGACGATTTTTGTCTTTCCTTCAATAAGGGCGTAGATAATATTATAACCACCTACCTTTTAACACTTCTCTTTTTCTCTGTGTCGTTAACAGTAGCTGTGAATTTTTTCAGTGGTATATACTGTATGTGAAGTAGAAGAATATAAAAATTGAACGGAAAAGGTCTGCAAAAAGGAAACAACTTATGCGTACCTATTGCAGTGTGTATGTGGCAAAACGTTGGAGCTCAGAATTGTCTCAGAACGCTGGTTGAGACTATTAGGCCCGGCTTATTGCACCGGCCTGATCCTCGGACTAATATTGTTTTTAATATATAAGAAAGAGCTGTGGAGTAACATTCCAATCGCTCTACAATTTACGGGTATTGAAAAAAGTCTTGGATATTTATATGTTTTACGCCTTACTCTCAAATGGCATATCTATATGAATCCTGTAGTACACAATTTATTTTCTAAAGCACCCCCTTGTGCGCACATTGAACCGTTTGAAACCGAACATAAGGCATCACCATTTATTTATTATACTATATCTTATGCTCAGGCGATTTTTATTCCACCGTTTGTGCGTAAATAACACGGCAATCAGGTTTTTTTTTCTCTGGCCGATGGTGAAGGGGTTACGCACGGGCGATCATGAGGGATGCTGTATTTATGTATTATACCGGCGCCAGGCAGCGGTCGAGTACAGCTCATTACCCGCATAGTGTGGCGATGATACACGGTCTATAAGCGGATACAACATATATTATAATATACATTACACGTCTTGTGTGTATATGTAATATTGTATTATATTATATTATACTGTAATCTCCGTTATTGTGCGCAACGCGTGCCGACCGTATTTCTTCTCCTCCATTAGACCTAACAACCTTAAGCCACGCGACGCGACGGTTCCACCCGTTCTGTGTGCACGATAATAATTTTTTTCTATTACTCGTATTATTATTTTGGTGATTTATGGGATGACCCCCCCCCCCTCTTACAGCCAAACCTTTGACGACGTTTGCGCCGGTCGCCTTTGCCGTCCAAAAGCCGTCACGAGTAAGTCTGACATACGCGAGTAAGTATATTATTTTGAGCGGACGGCGTTGGATTTCCGCTTGGTGAGAATTGCGCACATGATTTATGGTCACGCCGACTTTTGTTCGTTTCATCATATTAATATTTTACCGTAACGCTTCGCACTATATATAGGTATGCTAAAATGTAAATATACAGGGTGGTTCATCTGATGTATTTTATTTTGTTCTCAGTTGTTAATTAGAGACCTTTTAGAGTGCGAAATGGGACGTTCAAAAATATAAATATGGTCCAAATTGAAAAATGGCTGACTTACGGTCAAAAATATGTTTTTTGTTAACCAAAAAAATGTTCTTATCAAAAATAACTACTTTTCTAGGAAAACATTTTCGGTAAAACCCGTAATTTGTAAATTAAGTCCTTTAGCTATTTTTAGTTTTGTTGTTTTTTATTTTGATGCATATGGTAACCGTGTAATGCGTGGTAACGTTCCTAACCTAACCAATTG